ACCTTATGGTTGTACGGCAGTGAAGCATCAGTGCCAACACTGATGTTGCTGTCATTGATGATGATGATGACAGCTGAACGATTTTTTCAGCATCAAGGCGAGTTCTGATCAGCCGAAAGTGTGAACCCAACAGCCAGTCATCATTTGGTATCCGCTTCACACTGGTTACTAGTGGAGCGTCCAGAAGGCGTCTGAATTTTCATAATGTCATCACCGCATACACTTTGAATAAGACGCGCTGTACGCGTTTTCAAGCAGCCTTTAGGCGTTTGCTACATTTCGTGCACCCTTGGTGATTATTTTGCTGAGAACGCTGGTTTGGGAGCATTAGACCGAGAACTGGACAGATGCATTACCATTATTGTTGTTCACAAGCCTGGATAAGAGGCAGTTGAAATGTCGGTATTGATTTTGAGCCACAGACAAGCCGATGGACAAATTCGCACCCCAACCACTAAGCCACCTTCAGACTATGCACATGTAGTTCAATAACTTCAGCACTCCATCGGTTGGCGACACGAAGTAGCACAGTGTGCTGAAATGAAGAAACCGGTGCCCCTGCAGTTGTCCAGTTAACTTTTCCTTCCCTTGCTTTTGCAGTGGTACGATTAGAGTATCCCTGAGTTATGGTTCTATCTGCCAGATAGTTTCAATCATGTGTGCTCTCCAAGACTAGACCGCCATTTTTGGGGAGTTCAGTAATTTTTCTAACCCGTAAATACGAGTGTGATTGTCATGTCTCCGATAGCCGGAAGAAAGTACAGTGGTTTTCAATCAATCGGAAAAAGTTTGGAACCGACTGAGAAACAATCGTTTCAGAAGAGCATAGTAAACAATCGGTGGTTTTTTATTTGGGCAACGTTTCGCTTTTGACCAACTAAATTGTCACAACATCCATACGCCCAGGAAGTTCAAGAAAAACCTACCAGTGGCACCCGAGGTGAATCACCGAATGAAGCACCCTGAAGTGGAAGATTAAGGAACGAAAAACGATCGGAACTAATTTGAGACTCCTCCAACCCATCAATTCAGGATTTTGGCACCCACACTGGCCGACAAGAATCCTTAATTGACACTCAACACTGATCTAGTGTGAAGAAGACCTACTGATTGGTTCCCCGTCTGTCTTATAACCTGGCCAATTTGGTGACCTGTTCAGTTGGCCTGATGGAGCTTTTGTGTCAAAAGTTAAACGCTGTCCGAATAAAAACTACCGATTCTTTACCAATACAGTGATTTTCGTTTTTCTTCGAAGTGGCCTGGTTACTGTTCGCGGACGTTCAAAAGTTCGCTTGAGCCATAGATTCATTTTTGTAACTGACTGCTACAGCGTTGCAACTGCATGCTGGAGCGTTCGGATTGGGTTGATACGAAAACCACGGAGTGTACTCAAATAGCCGTAAAATTCCTTACGAGTCAACCAAGAAGTAAATTTCTCAACTTTTCCGCTCATTTTTCACCGTTCGTAGATGATGCAACTAATTTGAGGTTTACTGCCAATTCGGATACCTGGTTTTTACTTCTTCGATTCACTGGTCAGATGTGCAACAGAATACTCACTGTATTAAATTCTCTCAAAATAGAATTTCCTAAAGTCTGCAGAATGTCAACTTTGACGAAAATGTCTATGCCTATTCGCTTGAGGACGGCATTTGCTGTAATCGCGCTGATTATAACAATATTTTCAATAGATTGATGTCAGATGCACTAAGGAAGGATTTGGATGGACTTTGTGATTTTGATTCAAGCTGCTGCTTTTTTCAGATCGAAGGCAAAATAAGATGTGATTCCCGTTCTCTTTCTACCGACCCAAGAGTTTAATCCGGAATAAGTTTGTTGAAAAATTCGCTGACCAGTGAACCTTGTTAAACTGGGGTCTGCGGCATTAATTCCATATATTTTGGCTTCCACTGCAAATAAGATGGACCCTCTATGGTAACTAATCGTTACCAGTTTAGTCCACTGGTGTTCAAATGTTTGGAAATGATGGTGTTTATTTTCTTAAGGATGACGAGCATGTTGCATGACACGCCTTCTGCACTGTGGTAAAAAAAATCACTTGACTCAGTATCTTTATTAGCTTTCTTGAAAGTTTCCGTTTCTTCCGTAATCCATCACCAAGAGACTGGACCTTACCGTTATCTAACGGCTATGTTTCTACGACCTATTGAGCTATAATGAGGGTGTCCAAGCGATAATCGAAGTCTCTCATACCAGGTTGGTTAATGGTCAGAGGTCCGACCAACAGTTTCTTGATCAACCAGATTGGGGGTTGAAGCATATGTGGCGAGTTGTCTCACAAAAATGGTAATGCACCTGCGTTTCCTGCCAAACATCGCTGCCCTGCGGTCGGGCTTTTGAGGCGATGACTTTTGTCAAGGACCCTCAAGGTCTTCCCGTCTAGGTTTGAGCGCCCTGGAAGTATCCCAGCCCACGTACAACCATAAACTGATGACTTCTGAAATAATGCTCCTAAATACGTGAACCATACGTGCCGATAACAATATTCATCAGCCCCGACATCTAGGTCAGTGTTTTCCTCGTCTACGGGCCAGTGTGATAAACTGCTAGACAGGATCATTCGCAACGAAAGAACTATGATAACCACTGTGGACTTGATAAATATTTGTGTCGCGCGTTGCTTTATCACAGTCTTCAAATATATTGCTTCCAATCGCTATATTAATTATGAACTGTGTGCGCGTCTCCCAAAGTAACTTATCAGCTAAGTCGAAAGGAGTCAAAAAGAGTCCGTTGATGTAGCGAGTTAGAGTATACGCCGTTCTCATAGAATAGCCAACAAATTAACTTGAATTAAGCAATGTGAATCTATAGCATTCGAGTGTACTGTCATGGAGTAAATCCACCAATTAGTGCTATGGACACTACCATCAAGGAAACACCGCAATGGAATACTCCACATCTCCGAAATCGTCAATGGTCGAAGGGATTCCTCGATTCTTTCTGATGGACTTGGTTGACCCGCTTTCCGCTCACGTCGACTACATGGCTGGTTGGGATCAGATCATGGAAACACGTTTCAGCAGTCGTCTTCAGAGAAAAGTTTACAAGGTTATGTAGCTCATTGACATCTCACGTCAATAGCTTTGGTATCCAGACGCATACCGTCGACTAATAATCGCAGCTTTCATTTCATAACGGCCTCCCATTTGGTTGATGGACCAACTCTCCATGATGTTCGTACCCCTTATTCCCTCAACACTTGTTTAGGGACTCATAACTGTCCAAAAGTTTCCGCACAACCATTGTGGTTCGTCAAGTCTAATTTGTTTCCCACCTCATTATATTGTCATCACCATGGACCGCACACTTAAAGAGGGCAAAAATGGTGGAAATGAAGTCGGTCGGCCGTAAAACCTATTTGGTGCCTAGCTACAATGCCGCCAGATGAATGCATAGGGGCTGAGATGCTGTCATGATGTCCAAGCTAAGGCGGGATCAGTCGAGATGCCGGGGGTTGGTTCAAACTGCACGCCTCCCGTTTGCGCCTTAGCCAATGAGCTATCTTGGGGTCTTTGAATCGAAGTTATATTTAGCGAAAGGTTAGTAGAACTGAATTACACGGATGATATTCTTCTGTCATCAAACCGCTTCATTTATTCCTAACGACATATTGGAATCTATCCCTTGTTCCGTAATGCGTTGTGTTTTGAAAGTGCAGTCTTTCTTGAAAGAGTACAGGTTTCCAGTGTTCCGATGAAAATTCAAAGAAAGCAGCTTGGATTTCCGGGTCACTATACACAGCTGGGCAACTGCGTAAGCGGGGACTGCACTACAACAGATTCTACTACACACGTATGTCATAGTGGAAGCGGGAATGCACCGTCAAATACTACCGTAAAAATAATGACGGCAAACAATGAGGGTAGAAACAATATAAGGGTATTTAAGAAGTATTGTAACAAGATGGATTGAGTGACATGAACTCCAGGAAATTTGACGATCGCGTGTAGTGTAGCGGGCGCAATTTCAAAGTTGGAAAAACAATAGTTGCTATAACACGTGCTGGTAACATTGAGTGGATGACATATGAATGTATCCCATAATCAAACGAACAGTAACGAATTCTGGGATACCAGCGGGGTACACTAGACGTTGGCAAACTCAAATCTACCGAATGGTACCGCTCGTTGACCCCTAATGTTCAACACCGTAGAAATTGTCTATTGCTGAAAAGCATGTCCTGGAACGAAATGATTACCATGTCTTATGCTTGAACGCATTCACCAGTCGAATTTAAGTCGACAAGCAGTTTGCATCCGACAGAACAAAAGGCGCGCCAACTTACCACACTGGTATCCTTGAGACGAACCTTATCTTGGAGGGTTTTGCTGGTGGAACCCATTATTCCCGAACAAGTTGGCTTCCCACAGTAGCACTTTTGTTCCGAGGCACTGAAGTTGAGCAAACGAAAAGAGTCGACTCAGCGCTAAAATACTGACAAACGAGGCTCGCAGTTCACGGTTCACAGTGCCGTTTTAAGATTGATCAGTAACACTAAGGAACCAAAAGAGTGGTGATGAACTGGAAATTCGGCTGACTTTGTGGAACCAAACGGTAAAGATAAGCCTGTGGTAAAGTTTGGGTGCAATCGCTCGAATGAAAACCGCACGGTTTCGGCTGGCAATTCTGCGTCCTGAGAGCTCCAGAAAAACTACACGGATCAGAGAACTGTGGAATAAAGAAAATCAACTAACCGACATACATTGTCATTTATTAGTACGGTACTTCCATATTATACTAAGTTCATTCGCATGATTTTACGAGTTTCTGAAATATAAGACCCCTTCCGGTTAGGTTTGTGTCTTAGTCACTGAAATAGCTCGAGCTCAGTAGACGTGTTTACGACATTTAAGGCAATCCAGAGGAAGAAACAGATGTCTCATGAATGAGCGGACAACAACCAAAGCGAAAACTAAAGACGTTCTACAGTAGGGGGCGGGGTTGAAAACGAAAGTAGTAGGTTCGTAAAGCCTAGTATCTTATATTCACTCGCGAGACTTGGTTCCCGAGTCTGGGTGTTCTCATTGCCTCAATCGAAATTGGTATGGAGGATAGTGCGGACGTTTTGGTACTGTTGGTCCTGTTCACCTTCATGGTGGGATCCCGATGTCCCTCCCTGCGCTTGGTTGGGTCAAGCATTGCTTGCTTGCCAATTTGACACAGTGTACACGTTGAAAGCCCCCATATAGAAAGTACCTCACGAATTTAGCGATTACTTTGCTTGATAATGAGCAGCGGAACTGGTAATCAAATGATCCGGTCAAGCTCACTCTTAGAATGAGAAGGGACTAAAAAGACATCAGAGGAAAACACTGTGTGAGCAAATGATAATTCCCGATTTCCCGCCTCTAGGGGGAGTTTAGTTGAGGTACTCTATCTTGAGCCTTTGATACGAGCCTGGCTCACAAGTCAATGGTAAGCGGAAGGACATTGCTCTCGGACCTGCCCATAACCTGTGACCTAAAAGTCTGACGCGCAAGGTAGTGCGGTCAACCTGCTCGGAGCTAGTGCTCCGGTTGGATGTGGCGGACTGGCCTAGCCCCGAAATCCAAGAAATAAGATATACTATCTCACTCCTGATGCTGTTGCAAAAAGTGGATGTGTTCGCATCAGGCTCTCGATAGGCTTTACCTCTACTTCAAACGTTTCGAATAATTTTCCGGCGACCGATGTGCGCTTTTTAAGGCCCGTCGTTTCCAACCTGTCCTTCCTCAGAGGAAGCTAACATCGTGACCATCATAAATATGGAATTTTGGTCATCTGCAGAAAACCCCGCATTTTATTCAAACTCCTATCGTATAAGGCACTAAGGCTTTACCTTGTAATGCGATTATTCGTGCACTCGATGTAATTTGTCTGGCTGCTCCCCTTCGCTCGGCGTTTTTTAATTGATCCATTATCAGAAATGGCATCGCTGCTACCATAGATATGGAAGCACGCTTACATACCAAAGAAGTCAGTGAAGCAATCCTGACTTACCCGAATTGGACAAATTGGTAATCAATAGTGATCTCTTCACCGGCTTTAATATCTTCTCTAGCGAAGAACCCGATCCGAATCTCACCGTCCACACTCCACTGTAAAGTAAACAAAAGGAGAATATCCATAAGTTCTACGAACGGTGAAGGAAGTAAACAACAGAAGCTTTCACCAAAAGCAATACACAAGTAGTTAAAACTTAATTAACCGAGTATACGAAAATGAAAAATAGTTAAGAAGGCCATGTCCTTGGTTACAGTTCCCCAATTATTTCAGCTCACAAACAGTGCACAGAAGTGTTGTGGTTCCAGATGCTACAGCTTCATTCACCGAGGATGAAGAGAATAGGGAATGAGAGCAAAGCTTCTGAGATGGCCAAATCTGTTCAAATTGACCTATTTGACCAGTATAGCAGGAAGTGGGAGCTATGTAGTGAAGGTGATAACTTTAATGAATGACCGCCAATGGTTGCGTGAAGCGGCTACATTTGTCGGGGTCACTAATCACTGGTTTGCCTCGTCCCGCGGTCCTCAGCCGGGAAGACGGCAGTTATGTGACCGAATTGACCGACAAAAACTTCAATTCATGGATCACCTCCAACCAGTACAAGTCTGGGAGATAAGAGCTGTACGAGGCCAAAGGTCCTTTAGCATACGAAGTACGTGACCTAACAACGGTAATCTATGTATTGTGAGCAGCCAATCTGTCTAAGGAAAACGAAAACCAACCGAGGAACTCAGTACTAATGACTAACTCAGTACTAATTCCCAAGTGAATCGCAATGCTTTGAAGGCACCGACAGTCAAGCGGAGTCTCCGAAGACCTAATGCATGCATCAGCTACGTCTCTGACCCACAAAGTGAGACAGATCAGACCACTGCATTGTACACTCTACTTCTGACAGTCGAGCTGGTAACACGTCGGCGACAAGGATGTCGAAAGATTGGAAAATATTGCCTTCCTCTTTTGAGAAGCGACCAAGAACAAAGTTCCTCAACTTCTGAATAGAAACAAGACAAACAGACACCTGGGACAACTCACCTTCTGTGTGACGCAATTTGGCTCACAAGAGTGGTTCACAAAGCGTGCCCAGTTCCCCTTGGCACCAGCGTCAATAAACCTGTCAGATTCCAGGGCCATGAAATAATGGTGTGCATGGCCAAGCTTCTCGTAACGTCTGATTCGACGACGAAACTCCGTGAAATCAATCACCTCTCCAACGTACTCAATTATGAACGTGGACCTGACGAAAAAAGGAAGGGGTTGGCAACAACGCAAATTTAAAAATGCATATGCCCAAGACCCTTTAGAAAAATCCCTTGAGTGGAGACGTTTCGCGACGTCACCAGCGAAATTCCCTTTGCATAAGACACCACTCTTATCCTAGCAAGTGATACTAGTATCTATCCCAATGGGTTGAATGCCGATACAAGGGGGCATCACGCGAACACGAAGTCTCCGAAGGACATCCCTGATTGAAAATTTTGCACAGATTGCTATGGTGCTAAGCATATGTGCCACCATAAGAAGCAACAATCGTTTAGCAGTGGCAGAAATCATAGTAGCACCCCAGTGATAAATGCCAGTGCTTAACTGCCAAATGGCTATGAGAATTTCTAGTGAAAAGTGATAGGAAAGGGGAAGAACCGAGACGTGTTAAAAGCAACCTTATGACGCTGTGAAAACACTGTACATTGGAACAGTAGCGAGATAAGTGCGTCCGAGCATCACACCGAGGTGAGACGCCATCAGTGGAACTCACCCAACGTCCTTCATGAACGGCCCTCGACAAACACAAGAAGTCGTTCGACTAGAGAGTAACAGCAAGCTTTCCACTAGGGGTCGTTATGTGCTACGTCCTGGATGGTTTCTAACCAAGTACAAAAAAACCACGCGGACCCTAACCAGGAAGACAAAAAAATCCAACATTACTCCGATGGTAACCACCTTTATTTCACGTTGCAAAATCATGATATGCAACATGCGAACCTTTCGCCTTCTGCGAACAAATGTAGCCAGCGAACGTCTGCTAGCATGCGAAGTTACCTGTGACCAAAAGTTTGAATCCGTTTAATGCCATCAGATCAACGACCAACTTTCAAAAGCACACAGTACGACTACTTTTACATTTGTCTTGTGCATGCGTACCCTTAGCCCCGGTGAAATTCAGTCCTGAAGCCATAAAAGATGCAATTTCGCAAACATTGTCAGCACTTCGATAATACGTGCACCTACTTGTGAAGGTATAATCGTGGACTATGCAGCTGTTCAGTTGTACAAGCCCAGTTGAGAGGTATATGGGGTGACCCTAAATCCTGAAACAATATTTTCAAATTTGAAGGTGCAATAAGCCGATGGAAACCAGGGATCACATCCGAGATTACACTTAACTTACACTATGCCGACCGATGGTCGTCAAACAATGCGATGTCGCCCAAATGACCCTAGTCTTTCTCAAGATGTAATTTGGGTACCAAGAGCCTCGATCCTTTGAAGTGTAAATTCTATGACAATATCAGTGACAAAACTGAACGGATAACAAGACTGAGAGAAGGCAGCCTTCAGGAACCTCAGCAGTTGCGGTAAAACTTCTGGAAAGTTCAGAGTAAGCGATGGACACCTACGACGCTGTTGAAAATATTCTACCCAGAAATCTAGACACTGGCCCATATCATACATCAGATTCCGAGTACCATATATGCGTAGGAAGAAGTGATAGCGACCATGCTGAGATCAAGCTATTAGTATGTGTGCAATCGAAAACACCACGTGACAAGTTACCGGTGTCACGTATAACAGTTGTCCCATCCGAGTTACTACTAGCATCCTCTAAAGAGACCACTTTCAAACTATCACATAATGGGTCTAGGTATGCCCACTTAATATGCGGCTCAGGAGTCTTTTCGACTGCTAAACGGCAAGTTTGTTTGTTAGGCTTATCGTATAATCAGTGAAAACCTGCATCGGACGATGGTACTATCCGAATCAAGATGTGTTCCAGAATAACCGGCGGTCGAATACTAAGCCCCAGTAACGGTACCTAACGCCCCCCCTACGATTGTTCAGCAGTAAACAGGCGCCAACGGCGTCCACCGCGACTAACCGGGTACCGACGAGGAACGAACCAAACATTAGAAGGCCTCCAAAACCACGGTGTTAGATCTCTCCAAGAGAGAACCTTGTCGACTTGGGATATTCAGACCTCATTGTTTTCATGTTTGAAGAGAAGGAAGCGCAACCATTACTTAATAAGTTGATAAAGGTCTCCAGCCCTTTGAAACGTGCTTTGCGTCCATAAGGTGGGAGGTTATGTCGTGAGAACCACAGTCACTTAAGGTCTTTGAGACATCAAGGAAGGGTACTGGAAGATGTGGAAAGCTAAAAGAATCTTGGAGGTTACGCAGGTATAAGCGGTAGTGTGACAGACGAAGTGAACGCACGAATCTCAAAGTCGAAAATTGATGCACCAATCGTGGCGATAAGAAGTCATACTACTGGGTCCCGATCATCATCATCAACGACAGCATGAC